AGGTGTAGTAGAATTTTCCCACAATCATATGAGTAGAGCTGACGTTTACATTGAATTTCACATAGTCTTGTTTTGACAAAAATAGTTCTCATCCAGGGTGGACTGCAGTTTCGACCTTGCATAGGTCTTATCAACACCTTCAGCGGGAGTCGAACCGTGAAAGTGCAGCATGGGAGCTTGACACGTTTACCACTCAGCTACATTGCCACGAGTTCCATTGGGTCACAGGGCAGATGTGAATTTGAAAGAAGGCGAGGCCTTTCCCATATCACATTCTTTGATAGGATTGTCGATGAAGCAAACGTATTTTTCCTATAACAATCGACTACATTACTTAGTTTTCGTATATCAGTAGAGTTTCAAGACTCTCAGTAAATCAGTTATATGAGATGCATGAATGCGATATAAGAAAAGGCCTGGCATTCCTTGAAATTCACATCTGTCCTGTGACCCAACGACACTCGTGGCAATGTGACTGAGGGGTTAACGTGTCAAGCTCACATGCTGTACTGTCACAGTTCGATTCCCGCTGGGGGTGTTGATAAGACCTATACAAGATCGAAACCGCAGTCCACCCTGAATGAGAACAACTCTTGGGAAAGCAAGGCTATGTGAAATTCAATGGAAACGTTAGCTCTACTCATAGCATAATGGGAAAGTTCTACTACCCATCGTTCATCACCTTAAACAAAATAAGGTGGATACATCTCAGATAATAGATTCACTGATAGTCTATAAACTCTACTTACATGCTATATTGAAGTATGTTTAATTATATGTGGAGACTTTTACAGAAAGTTATTGAAGCTAATTAAGAACTGATAGTTGCATTTTCCCTATAATTATATGTGTAGGCCTTACGATTTAATTAAATTACCCTTAGCCTTGCTTTCCATGTGCTTATCCCATTCAAGTTGGATTGCACAGGCCGTCAGACATTATTAAATATGATTGGCCTTTTACATAAATTTTAAGGACCTAATTGCTTTATTCGGAAATAACACACGTCCGAAAAATGCGTTTAGTCGCCCATGCCATAAAAAGATATAAGACTAGACTACATTTTTTATAAGCCCGCGGGTATTGAATCAGATAGCGTGTCTCAATTACAATCCAATAAAATGAAAAAAGCCTAAAAATATCGTAAATATGCTCCAATCATATAAAATTTGAATAAACTACAATAATTTTAATAGGAGTGGTCTGACCTCGTTTCGCAACTTGGTCGTGCTGTCAGAACGACTTTGTTGGACTCACATTGTCTGAATCCTCTGCTATAGTAGTTATCATAATTCACACCTTTGGATCGTGAACTTGGTATATTTTTAGACGTGTCGCCGACATCGTCACTGCATCTTGCCATTCTCCGAACCAGGCTACAAGTCCTCAAAGCGGCAAGTGAAATCAATCCCTTCTGTTATGGCTCATCTATCTGCTCCTTACCCTCTTATCACACTCTCATCATTTCGCAACTTCTGACTTGTTTACATTCCACTTGTCGAAAGGTGTGTCCCTTTTGGCAAATGTAATTTGACGTCATCACACCTGCTGTTCCCCTCGCCCCCTCTCTTTCGATTGGCTAATCCGACTCAGGCCTCCTGTCCGGATCTCCTCATAGTACCTTAGATACATTTCTTATCTTTCTGGTTGATTGATTTTACTGATTTCTAGGGTCGGACCATGGACTTTGTACATTCCAAGACGTTTCGCTGGCATCGCAGTCTTCAGCTTCACTGTATGAGGCTCTTTTTTCTGCTCTCTAATTGATCTCGTATTCCAGTTGTGAAATGTGTTTCGCTTTTTGTCATCTTTCGGTATCCATTTTCCTGATGAATATTTTAATCAGAAAGGTAAGTAACGTATCTTCAGGCCATGATGGAGATCTTGATACGTATTCTGAATCGGATCAGCTAATCAAGCGGGGGGTGGTGCAATGTAGACATCAGGTGTGTTGATGCAAGTCTAAACTTTATACAAGGTGCCCTTCCTTTGGGAGTTGTAATGCACACATGTCAGAATTTTTGGTACGGCGGGAGTTAAATAAACTTGTAGAGAGCAGACAGATTAGCCAGTACAGAAAATGGAGGGAGAGCTCAACCTTTTTGGCAGAAATTTAGTCAAGGTATTGACTTCTTCGTTTCTTTGACGAGTTTTAGCTTGGTTCGGAGAATAGTAAGACTCACTGACGATGCCGGCGAAACGTCTGAGAAATTCAAAGTCCAATGCTTAGAATTATGATAGCTGGTACATTTGAGGACTTTGGACAAGTTACGTCCGACTAAGTCTCTCTGAAAATACGACCAAGTTACGAAAACGAGGTCAGACCACTTCCATACATCGAAAGAGACTGCCATCAAAATAGTTGTCGCATCATACTATTCAAGCATAATTTTAATGTTTTTTTTAATTCTTTTATTAATATGATTTATCATATTTTCATCGCAGAATAAACGGCACTCCTCTAAGCGGTACTACTCACTGATAATAGGACTCGAATTTATATTATGGAAATTAGTTTCCTTCCTAATTAATTTTATTTACTTTTGCTCAGAAATGGAGGATTATCGGGTCTTAAATCGATCAATACTTCAAAGCCTGCTCTCGCCAATCCTTCTGTACTTCGGTTCCATTCTCTAGCCGCCCCTGCAGAGTTAGCCACGCGAAACCATGACATATTTCGCTGGACGGAATTCATTTTACCTCATGACAGTATCAAGCAATTCAAAAATGAAGGCCCGATGAAGAAGATCGTAATTACAGCCAGACCAGGTACTAGACAAGACTTTGATGTCAGGGCGGGCCCTGACGAAGCGGAAACTTGGATCTGGCCAAAGGATGAAAAAGACGATGAACAAAAAGGTGAAACATAATCCGATATTTATTAATGTTAATTATTTCGCATAAATTTAATAATAAAAATACTGCTAATAATAATATAATCGATGAGTAATAGAAAGGTAAACACCACATTTATCCGAAATTCAGGCTATACCCAACCAACACTCTCAATGTGAGGCTATAGAATAAGACATATCTTTGGCAACAATTACTCTGGAGTTACTTACTCGTGACTTACAAAGTAAGTGGACCCGAATTCGCTAATCGTCTAATCAGAGCGATGCTACTAAATAAGATACGTTGCGAATGAAAACAACCTCTTATTGCTAATATAAAAACAATTAAGTCGGCCATGTAAATCTGTCATTAAGCTCAAAATAAGAAAGTGGATCGAGAAATGCTGATCATGAGATTCCTTTGAATCTGGAAACTCTGAATTATGCAGATGCAGATCGTAAGAAGAAAAAGCAAGACACAGTTTAAATATTCAAAGATACTAAGAGTAAATGAGTCCTGATTAATCTTCAGAGAAAATATTGTTGG